GCGGCTGGCGTGGCGTGGCGTGGCCCGGCGTCCGGGCTAATGCCCCGGAGCTGGCGAAGCAGGCCCCGGAGCAGCTTAGCTCGTCGCGCGCTCCGCTCAGCTTCACCCGACCGTACCACTTCTCACCCGCCGGCCGCAGCGCCAGCGCCGCCAGGGCCCTGCTGATGGTGATGGTGGCGATAGAGAATCAATCAGGGCCGCCTGCAGCCTGCTCCTCCACGAGCTGCTGCTGGTCGTAACAAGTGCATTAAACTGTCGCTGCTGTGAACGGTCGTGACGGCGCGCCGCGCTGCTGGCAGTCCCAGCAACCCTCCGATATGGCTTTGTGATTAACGCAGGAATGGTTGTTCCCGACATCAGACATGCAGCCGAGCTCCCCGGCGGCGTGCGTGCGTGGGTCTGTCCCGCCCCGCGCTTTAAACAGCGGCAACTCGAACAACCAGCACATCCGGCATCGAGCTATAGGGCAGGCAGACGTGGCTTACTGTTGCAACGGGAGAGGGATTGTGTCTCATTATTGTTAGGAGTTTCACAGAATTTGGGAGCAGCTTTCGCTGACAGAAAAGGGTGGTAGGGGGAGGGCCGTAGGGCGTAGGGGATAGCGGTGGGGAGGCTGTTGGAGAGAGGAGGGCCATACACCACCAAGGAAACGGGAAGGAACGGAACGGACACGTGCTGATGTAATAAAATTGAAAAAGAAAAACGGATCCTCACTATTTTATGATATGAAAACGCCGTCAATGATTTAAACTGTGGAGGGCACCAAAACACAGCGAGGAGCGGCGCACAACTGAGGTCTCCGAGGCGCACTCGTGCCGCTCGCCCTCGGAGAGTCTTTCCTTACCTCGGGCGGAGCGTGGCGCGGGGGCGGGGCACCCGGAGGTGTATCGTCCCTACAGCGCAGTCTGACCCTCACCCCTTACCCGTGTTGGACTTCCACGCTCGACCTCACGGGCCAAGGACCAACGCAGACTATCATTGCCCCTCCGTCTCTCTCTCTCTCTCTCTCTCTCTCTCTCTCTCTCTCTCTCTCTCTCTCTCTCTCTCCTTCTCTCTCTCCCCACCCCCCTCACACTTACACACACACACACACGCACACACGCACACACGCACGCACGCACTGGAGAAAGGGGTGCGAGCGCGGGTCCTTTCCCTTTTGTCCTCACTAACAGCCGAAACAAAGTTTAATGCGTTACCATAGGCTCCCCTTTCCGGTACCTTTTACCTCTCCCTTCCCCCTTTCC